GGGTCCTTAAGGGCCCCCCCAAACGGGCCCTTAAGGTTCACGGATTTGGGGCCCCAACCTTTTTTCCCGATGACGGCCACCGCCGCTTTGCCCTTCCCTGCACGGACCGGGAGCCTGGGGGGCTTTTCCCCCCCACCGGCCCCCGCCCCTTGAGCAGGAGATCCGCGATCTCCTCCTCCCTAGGGCCTGCCGTCCACCCGTACGTTCCTTACGACCCCGCTTTGGAGAAACGCGGAGCCTGGGGACGCCACCGGGCGGTTTTGCCCCCCCCCCTCGGCGGTGCTTGCCCCCTTTTGGTGGCATATTTCGCCGGACTGGGGGTTTCCACGTCCCTGAGCGTCCGCGTTTCGGTGTCGTCCCTCCGTTTCCCGGGCCTCCGGCCATCCGATGAAGCGGGGGACCGGGAAAACGCAGCCATCCGATGCCTTCGGCCCCCAGTGACCAGAGTAGACTGACTCGGGACCCCCATCGAGATGGGCGTTCCCGACACCACTCGCCCTAGGGGGAAGACCCACCCGCTCCACTGTTCGCTTTCCTTCCTTCGCTGTGCTTCCTTTTCCGTTTAGGCTTGCCTTTTCTTGGTTGTTTTTTTTCGATCGTCTTTTTTTTTTTTTGCAAATTATCCTGTAAATCCCACGAGTGGGGGAGAACTAAAGGTCCCCCCCCGGGGGCAGAGATCCCCATTACCCGGGCAAGCTAGGTTTTTAAAACCCAAACCCGGGGGGCCGAGGTCCCTCGGTTTGGGAGTGCGCTCGGATGAATTCCATCCCCAGACCCCTGGCCACGCACCAGAACACGGGTTTTGGGAATTTTTTAGAGAGGTTATCTTCCTCGCGGCCGGGCGTTAAACCCAAGCCCCTCCCCCCCGTCAAGCCGCGAGACTTAACCACAGCGCTCTTTCGGGGTTGCGATTGCCCCACGGTTTTACAGGGAGACTACGTCCCCCTGCCTTCTCGGTGGTATGTGGTAAAAACCCCGAGCCCCCTCCCCCCTTCTCCACCGCTATCAGCGGAGAAACGGGGGCCCCCCCAAAAGGCCCCACCATAGGTTTTTTTACCGAGGTTTTTTCCCCCAGCTCCGAAGAGCGAAGAGCCAGCAGGGGAACCGGGAGGGGCACGCCCCCCCTGCTGGACCAGGCCTTGCCCCGAGAGCGATAACGGCTCCTCTTCTGCTGAAAAATTTTGGGGGGCTGGCGATAACCTCCCTCCAAGAGGACAAGGGGGAAACAACCATGCCAGCGTTTTCCCGGGTGCCCCCCCGAGGAGGTTTTCTAGCCAAGAACCCCCCACGAACCCTCCGTGTGGTGACGGATTGAATAAAATTGTCACCACCCCCCAATTTTCCCGTGGGTGTCTAAGAGCCAATAAGGGAGCAAACTAACAGGACAAAGCACGCAAAGGAAAAAAAAAACTTGAAACAAAAAACCCATACCAACCCGTCGGGCCCTCGTGGTATAGTGGCCAAAAATTCCTTTTGAGGCCCCTTTTCCAGCATGGACTATTGAAATGGTGTGGTTGATGTGAGTACCCCCTGACTCCCACGGTTAATTTTTTTTCAACAAATTTTGAATTATGATAAAAAAAACAGATTAATGAACCCTAAAAACGTTCCATTCTTTTACAACATTTTCCGTAAAAATGTTTTCATTTTTAAGTCCAAAGAAAAAACGTATTTGGTTCCATATACTGAATCAACTTAGAAAATAAAATTCATATTGCTATTTTGTGGAATGTGCATATTTTGTATGTTGTTTTTTTCATAAAAAGGACTAGATTAAGCTACTTATTTAAGTAGGTTATCTCAAATATTACGTAATTAAAATCTGTCAGCAATTACAAAATTATTACCATCATTTTTAAAACTATTAATTCATTTTCGCCAAATATACATGTATATAGCAACAGCCAGATCGTGTTATAGGTATGTCTGAACCTGGCCTGATTTAGCTATTGCTTAGATATCCCAATCCGTACAAGCAATGAAATTCATTCCTTTGAGTCACTTTTACTTACTCACCTTTTTCCTTAAATGTACTATCTATTTTTTATATTTAAAACGGAAAGCGCTCGTTTGTCAACCATGGGCTTCATCAGCACCATCATCAATAGCCTCTAATAGTCCACTGCTGGGACATAGGCCTCTCCTTGGAAAGGAGGTTTTAGTCTCCTATACCATGCTGGCCAGACGGGTGGTATAGTGTTTAAGTGTTCTTTCAATGGGCTTGCTCTTTATAAAATAAGCAGCCTTAAAATTATTGCTAGCAAAATTGGGTATGTAGGCTTATGTATGAATACATAAACTTATTGAAAACACCTTTATTTAGATAGTTATTTATTAAATGTTAAATTAAGTGTTTGCAAAATTTACTCTTCTTTTTTTAGTACTTGTCGTCTTATGTATATGTTAAGAGTTTAGAATTACAATAAATAAATTCAACTGCAAAAAAGGACAAAAAAAATACATCAATTTAAATTTAAGAAAACTGAAAGATTATAATATCGTACTATCTGTAACAAAAATAGAGAGGTTTAGAAAGATATTAAAAATATATGAATAAGTGTTACATCTGGTAATAATCAATTCAATTCTTTCTTATAAAATAAATCAGAATTAAGTTTGACATATTTTCTAGGGGCGGCTGATACTATACTAGACTGTAGCCATTGCCATGATTTCAAAAAACAATTACATTCCATCTTAGACTATGTTCCTTAAGACTGTTTAAAATAAAACGAAGAAAGCTGTAGAATAAGAATTTTGAATAATCTTAAAGGACTTTGATCATCAAGATCAAAGTCATAATTATCAAGGTACTAGATATAAGTGCAAAGCTATTTGAATTGCAATCTCATACTACATCGTGACTATTTTTAACAAAAAAAAACGGGCCCTAATTTGAACCGTGTGGAATCTCTGAATCTTATTACTTAAATACTAAGTAAGATCAAGAGATTTCTTGTTCCGTCGTGATGTAATTTTCTCATCAAAGTCGCAATCAAACGCTTGGTATAGGTCACAAAAAATTCTAAGCATAGTGTGAAACATGATACATTATTAGAATAGTTAAAAATGTACATAAAGGGTATTTTTAGTTTAAATAAACTAAGTCAGTGAGTGGCCTTAATCAAGATAAAATAAAAGTAAATGATACGTAAAACGTTGATGATGAGTATACAGAATTATTTACTAATAAATATTTTTTATGAGGCGACATGTTCACGTTTTTATAAATCCAGTTGGGTTTGAACCCGCAATCAATTGATGGCAAGTGTCAGACACTTTAGTTCTTACCATACCCTAGTTAAGTCTCGACTATTTCGACTAACTTAAAACAGTACAAACATATGAGTAATAAGTAACTTATTTACACATTTTACATACTAACTTAAAAAATAGATTAATACCTTTAGTAGAATTACAAAATTTCAATGTTATATGTTATATATGTTACAATGTTATATTTAAACCTAAATATTAGCAATTTTTTAAATACAAAAACTACATCAATGAATATATCGTCTTGGCATGAGTTTGTTTGCCCTTTCTTCTCATAAGGCTCATCCCCTTGGAAACGGGCGTTGAAGATCGGCACAGACATATCATAGATTTTGTACAAGTTTAATTTTTATTAAATTTTACAAAACAGAGATTTTTGTGACGATTTCAAACAATTTAAAAAAATCAAATGAAGAGAATTTGAGTTTGACATATCTGTATGTGTATTACATATACATTGTAAAGTCTTATATATAAGCTCTGTGAATACACGTTCGTATTTAAAATTCTCAGAAGATAGCTGCTTAGCTGAATAAATAAAGATTACTGAACATATGTCTTCTTTCCAGAAACCTTTGTACTCCCCAAGCATAATCCTTGAAGTATTCCCTGCCAATCTATCGAAGTAGGATCGCAGGGAAAAGTTTTTTTGTCCGAAGCTGAGAGTGATAAAAATAAATTTCGTGTATGATCTGCTTTCATAATCCAAGAGTGGCTCGTGAAGTAGTTCAGGGCAAGACGGGTTTGCATGATGCGAGACTGAAGTTTGACGTACCTAAAAAATATATTTAATGAAATTCATTCATCTAAAGAAGACATTCTAAGTGTACATGGTCTTTGTCGCGGGAGAGGAATACTTCGGTATAGTTGGGCAAGACTCGACCGGCGTGATACCACTCACGGTGATACTACACGGTCTCTTTCTCTCTCAAAGCAATTCTTTCGTTGTTTATCCCCAAGTGAGGGAGCTAACTGGAGTCCAAATGTCATCCTGCTCTTGATTGGGGATTATGATTCTGGAGTTGCGGATGTCCATGAGTGCCGGGTAGTCACTTATCATCAGGTGATCCTTTTTTGTGGACGGGCGTGGTGGAAAAATCCTTTCGGGGTCTCCGGCTCTTTCGGGGACACAGGAGCCAGGAGTATGTGGTGTTCCACCTAAAATCACCCCGACAAGCCGGTCCTCGGCCCCGGCTCTTGGGAGAACCCGAACAATGTTATTTCAGGTCCCCCTGGATCCCCCAGCGAAAGAAGGAGGTTCCCCAATCAATGTGTGTGAAGGCATAATAGCATTTTGCGATCGGGCCGCCATCCGAACCGCCTACCGCAGCAATGAATCGGCCACCAGAGGTCCCCCAGACTCTGGTGGGCAGATTACCCAGATACGATAATGGACCTGTCGAAGTAAAAAAGATGTCCCGCAGGTAGGGAGGCAACTGTTGACACACTAGTTGCCTCTCTACATCGCCCACTAAGGGATGAGAGTTAAAGGCGTTTGGACAATGTGAAGACTGACGGCCAACGCCTCTCCCCTCCGACAGGACAACTTCTACGACAAGGAGCGGACCAAAAAAAAAAAAGGCGGCGGTAGCCAAAACCATCAGGTAATCCGTCTTCTCGTTTGCCCTCTGTTCCAAAAAAAACATCTTAGACAATGGGCTTAAGGGTGAGATTTCTCAACAATCAAGAATCAATTGTCCCAGTCCCAATTCTAACACGGATAGACGTATTTTGATTACAGAAATTGTAGCAGCACTTGTGGAATCTATTAAAATGTAGGTACATGATAACTTACATCGGCCGTTTTCCTGCAAGTATTCTAAATAAATCAGCTATATATGCAGGTGTCACTTGAAACAGCAGAGTGATAAGTGAAACCAGCCACTTCCGTCTTGTAAAAGTATACATTTTAGGAAACGGCATACATGCTGCAGAAAAAAAGTATGGTTATTAAATATGTCACACACTATAACATAGAATTAGTTGATAAGAAAACTATTTTTAAGCCAGTTTATCCGCTTAAATTTATTCAGTTTGAAGGTTGGACTTTTTAGGCATGTCCAGTTTGAGTTACAGGTGCACAAACTCTTACTCAGTACTGCAGTCCTACCAATACCTTCCCGTCTTAACTACCTTTCCTTTATTATACGTACTTATAATTTTAAATCTAAATCCCAAAGTGCCCCGTTGACGGCACCAGCCCCTATTACGAAACTGATACTAAAATTATAGTCGGCAAAAAGTGTGTGCCTAATATGATATATGTCATATCCATCATCAACAGCTTTTAACAGTCCACTGCTTTACATAGGCTTCTCCTTAGAAAGGAGGTTTTGGCCTACTATTGGCATGATATATGTATTCCTCTATAAGTGATATGCCTCTTGTAACGCCTTCAGGTAATACTCACGTCGAGTAAATCTAATGTCATATGTGACTTATTTTGGAAGTCTAAGAATTTGAATAGATTACAGCAAATAATTTTAATCGTTTAATAAAAATATATAACTTGTCAAAAATATGAATGTATCATATTCATGTTTGTAAATGTAAAACACTTACACGATTTGTATTTTTCAGAATTCTTTATAAACAGCTTCATAACTTTCCCAATTGGCAGAGGATTGCAGCCACTGCTGCAGCAGTTGTAGATCTTTAACTCTCTTGATCTATAATTAAGAAAGAGTAATCAGCCTTTTTTTTTCTTCGTTTCGTGGTTCTTGTCTACTGCTGGCATTGCTCAGTCCAAGTCTAGAGGTATAGGAACTCTGCAGTCTCCTCTATGAGCAAGTTATGAAGGAAACTGCGATATAGGACCGGGAGAAGTTTAGAACTCTCCCGATCCAACGGGCCCGGGAACAGGCCAGGTACCGCAGACTGCTCAGGCGCTGGAGGTCACAGATCGACCTGGGGGTGACAGGTGAGGCTATCATCCTAACAGAATCAGGCAAGATTCTGAGCGCGCACGGTTTTTAGGGAGCATGCGACCTTTCCGAACTGACAAATAATCTTTGACAAATGATAATGATATTTACTAGGTAAGTTAATCTTTTCTGATATTTTTAACAATTCGGACTTTACAGCTAGATGGAGCTGGCATTTCCTAAGACTCACTCTGGGAAGAAACGCCGAAGCAAACCACAGAGGTGTTATCCGTAAACAAAGTTAAAGAAAACTGTGTGAGTACCGGGTCTGAGTAGGCCATTTGAAGAAAAGACGATAGTTTTGAGTCGGCCTGTCCATACAGATGACATACGAGCCCCAGCCATCGTGTAGCTTAACCGATATTAGTCAAGATCAACGACCCGAAGCTCGACACTACCGCCAGAAGGATATATGAGTAGGCCGTGTAAACACTCTCAACCACCAGAAAGTCTAAATATGAACTAACATTACAATCCTACACTATACTCACATTTACATACTTACACAAAAAAATCTACTATACAATTCAAGTTCAATGACAATATTAACATTATGATTTATGTTACCTGCAATTTTTGGCACCTGCTGCTATCACTAAATTTGCCACGTAGTCGACTGGTATCAAGTCCACATTATTACTAGATTTTCCATAGAACACTCGATTCAAGCCTTTAGAAGTGGAGACCATCATGCCTGTCGCTCCGTACCAGTTTTCTAACCAACCTTTTATAGGATCATTCTTAATTGCAGCCACTGAAATTTAGTTATTAGTTTATATATGTATATCAGTTCTGTGGAACAGAATATAAATCTTTCAAGTAGTATCAGGTAAAATCAAATTTAACGTAGATGTTAAGCGGTATTTTACTTTGTCGGTTCGTTTATTTTTAATTTGATAATCACTTGAGGATGTAAATATGCCAATTTATAAAACTAAACTTAAACAGTTACAAAAAGTACGTTATATATTAATAGTAGTGACGAAAACAAATGCTGCTATTTGCAAATTTATGAACTGTTTATTAGTGAGCATAGAAATTAGTTTATTAATAAGTGTAAATAGTCGTATTTCATCACATCACATCACATCAACAGCCTTTAATAGTCCACTGCTGGACATAGGCCTCTCCTTAGAAAGGAGGTTTTGCCCTACTATACCACGCTGGCCAGACGGGTTGGTATAGGGTTTGTGTGAAATTTCTTTCTTTTTTCAGAAGTATAATAGTCGTATTTAATTTTTGTATATTCACAAAAATATAATTTCAAAATTATTATTAAACTAACAGTAATAAACAAATTATTGTCTTCTTTTCGACATGAAAAGCAGTTAAATTAAAACATAGAGTAACTTGAATTATCAGGTTATTAATGGAATTAAACTGATAAACACTAAAAAGAACGATACCGCAGTCTTGTTTATATATTTTTTTTTGGAACGTATGACTCACAAAGACACTAGATGGTAGTTTTAAACTAAGCAGAGCTTGTACTATGAAAGTGGTAAGTTTATTTGCCCTAGGGCGAATTAAAAGCAATTCTAACCACTAGACTATGTAGTGTAGAGGCAAGGAGAACCATCTCTTAAGGGAGGAAAGACTGAAAAACTGGCAGCTGTGTACTGAGAATAGAAGTCAATGGCGTACGAAAAACTACGATATGAACATAGCTATTGTATTATTGAATTTTTGTTGTATTGAATTGTGCTGAGTTAAAATATTAAAATACTTTAATTGTCCGAAAGTTCTTAGACTTTTATTAACTATCTGTTAAACTCATTGACTATTTTTTCAGTCTAGCACACAGTGTCTGGATGCGAGAAGCCCAAAATCGATCTAAGTGGCGTGCAATGGGAGAGGCCTATGTCCAGCAGTGGACTGCGATAGGCTGATGATGATGACACAGTGTCTATTTATTATTTAAGCCAATATACATTTATTTTAGGCTACCGCACCACCAGCCTTATTGGACGCGTTTTTACGCAAACTTTCATACACAGAGATGGTTCTCCTTGTCTCTACACTCCACACACGCACAGAAATTAAAACTAAAAGTGTGTCTTGTCTTGTCTTGTGTCAAAGTATATATTGTCGTTACTGTTATATATGTTATTAATAAAGTATAGCTATAACATACTTATTAGTCAGAATTTTACATAACTGCTTCATTAAACTTACCAATGAAACAAACATTTAAATTCATTCAAGCAAGCAAGACAAGCAATAAAAAGATTCAACCAAAAAGACTATTTCAATTTGAAGAATACTCGTATGCATAACGAATGCACGGGTGACATAGTGGTTTAAGTGGACACCACGCCGCTTCCTACTAAGCTGAGTGTTGTGGGTTCGATCCTATCGATGAGTCTGGGTGTTATTTGTGTCCGTTTCATGAATGATTGTAAAGTCCTCCGCGACACAATATATTCCTAACGCGGGAGTTGTCTTTAAAAAAAAACAAAGATTGACATGAATTTTAATTACCAATAGAAGGTCGGATGATGACTGTAGGCATATGCAGTAAGTTCTCAGCAACTAAATGTTCAGACAACGCTTTGGTAAACGTATATGTGTTGGGACGTCCAGCTGAAAATTAAAACAATGTTACTAATCGGTGAACCAGACACTGTAAATCAAAATATTTGTTTTATAATGAACGTATGTATACTAACAAAATATAATTCATATATAAATATTTAAAATGACTTGAGACATCACGCACACATACATAATTATATTATCACCTGTAAAATAGGATGCACGATTTTGCTTCATTTAATTTTATATAATTAAATTAATCATTTAGCAGTGGTTATCGCAGGGGCCCAGAAGGTCGCCGATGGACGGAGCCTCCTGGTCGGAGGTTTCCTGAGGGCGCAGGCACGACTCCTGCAGGCCCGGCCGGCAAGGTGCTTCAGGTGCCTGTCGGTGGGGCACGTAGGGGTGCACTGCACGGCGGAGGCCACCGTAGGTGACCGATGCTTCCGCTGTGGCCAGCCCGGTCACAAGGCGGGTGGCTGCAACGCTCCGCTGCGTCGCTTTAGGTGCGCAGCGGGGGGCAAGCCTGCCGACCACCGGGTTGGTGGTAAGGCCTGTGCCCTATCACGACCGAAGCCGGGAGGCCGACCTTCCGCCTCCGCGCCGCTGATCCAGACGGGGAGTGCCGCTGGACAGCCGCAAAGTCCGCTGCGGGATGCGGGGATGGAAGTCCAGTGATGGATCTACATCTCCGCATCCTCCAGGTGAACGTAGGCCACGGTGCCGATGCTCAGGATCTTCTGCTCCAGAGCATGGCACAGTGGTCCATCAACATCGCCGCTATCGCCGAGCCATATGTCCATCGGTTTCTCGGGCCTGCCTGGGAGACCGACTTGGACGGCACGGCGGCCCTGGTGCACGGTACCGCAGCCGGCACTCCACCTCTTGCAGTAGTTGCAAGGGGACGGGGCTGTGTAGCGGCGATAGTTGGAGATATAGCGGTCGTGGCCGCTTATTTCACGCCGAACCGAAACCTAACTGAGTTCGAGCAATGGCTCGCTCAGCTGGCCGTCGTCGTCGATGCCTGTCGCCCCCACCCGGTTCTTGTGCTGGGGGACTTCAACGCCTGGTCGCAGGCTTGGGGTTCCCTGCGCACGAACCCGAGGGGCAGGGCATTGGAGAACTGGGCTGAAAGATTCGGCCTAGTTCTCCTAAACCGGGGGGCCGTGGCCACGTTCGTGACGGCGAGGGGTAGTTCGATCGTGGACATCTCGTTCGCATGCCCCTCGCTAGCGCGTCGTGTCCAAGGCTGGCGCGTCGTTGTCGGGGAGGAGACAGGTTCGGATCACCGATATATTCGGTTTGACGTCTCCGCCCCTGCAGATGGCGCGCCGGTCAGACCGGCACCACCTGAACCACGTTGGGCGCTCAAGCGCTTAGATCGCGACCTCCTCCTGGAAGCCGCCATCGTACAGGCCTGGGCTCCTGCGCCGGACAGGCCTGTCAACGTCGATGCTGAAGCACAGTGGTTCCGGGAGGCCATGACCCGCGTCTGCGATGCGGCGATGCCTAGGGCTCAGCCCAATACTGCAAGGCGCCGGGTCTACTGGTGGTCGCCGGAGATCGCACGGCTGCGTCAAGCCTGCGTGACCGCGCGCCGCCAGTGGTCCAGGTTCCGCAGGAGGCGTCGCCGCCCCGAAGATGCGGCAGCGAGAGAGGCGGAGCTGTTAGCGGGTTACAGGGTTGCCAAGAGGACCCTTCAGGCAGCAATAAAGCGGGCCAAGAGCGAGGCCCGCCGCGAGATGCTGGAGACACTGGAGCGGGATCCGTGGGGACGCCCCTACCGTATGGTTAGGGGCAAGATGCGCCCATGGGCCTCGCCGCTCACACGGTGTCTTCAGCCAGAGCTGCTTGAGAGGGTCGTTGGCTCCCTGTTCCCAACGCGAGTGGTGGAGCATACTCTGCCACAGATGGCTCCGCCTCCGGCGCTTGAGGCGCCTAACGTGGATGATGACGACGTGTCTGAGGTCACTGGGGTGGAACTAAGGGTGGCGGTGTTACGGCTTAAAGCCAAAAACACCGCCCCGGGACCCGATGGCATTCCTGGCCGAGCGTGGGTCCTGGCCTTAGTCGACGAGGCTCTCGAGCCCCGACTGCGAGGGTTCTTCAGCGCATGCCTCGAGCGGGGCCAGTTTCCGAAATTGTGGAGGACGGGGAAACTGGTCCTCCTCCGAAAGGAGGGGCGCCCGGCGGACTCGCCGTCCGCCTACCGGCCCATAGTGTTGCTTGACGAGGTGTGCAAGCTCTTTGAAAGAGTGATTGCAAGGCGCCTCGTCAAGCATCTCGTGATGGTTGGGCCGGATCTGGCGGACAACCAGTACGGTTTCCGTCAGGGGCGCTCCACCGTGGATGCGATCATGCGCGTGAAGGCTCTGGCGGAGGAAGCAGTCTCCCGGGGCGAAGTGGTGTTGGCGGTGTCCTTGGACATCGCCAACGCGTTCAACACTATGCCCTGGAGCTGCATCAGGGAGGCGCTCGTGTATCACGAAGTGCCTCTCTACCTCCGCCGCATAGTCGGGGCATATTTGTCGGAGAGAGAGCCGTCGTCTACCCCAGTAGGACCGGTCTCGGTAGGCGTGAAATGTCGTGCGGTGTTCCGCAGGGGTCGGTGTTAGGGCCACTCTTGTGGAACATCGGCTACGACTGGGTGCTTCGTGGTGCCTTCTTGGATGGTGTCGCCGTCGTGTGCTACGCGGACGACACACTCGTGACGGCGCGCGGCAAGACGCACCACGAGGCAACCCTCAGGGCCACGGCCGGGGTTGCCCAAGTCGTTGAGCGTATCCGGCGGCTGGGTCTCGAGGTGGCTCTGCACAAGTCCGAGGCCCTGTTCTTCCACGGGCTTCGGAGGAAGCCGCCTGAGGGATCTAGCCTCACGGTAGGAGGCACTCGCATCGGCATCGAGCCCTCGATCAGGTATCTGGGGCTCGTACTCGATGGCCGATGGGACTTCGGATATCATTTCCGAGGTCTGGTCCCTAAGTTGGTTGGGGCAGCGCGTGCGTTGGCGCGGCTGCTGCCCAACATGAAGGGACCCGATGACTCCTGCAGGAGACTCTACTCGGGGGTTGTGCGGTCCATGGCCCTTTACGGGTGCCCGGTATGGGCGGGGGCCCTGAAGGCTGCTACTGCGACGACCGCAGCGAATGCTGGCCATCAGGATCATAAGGGGGTACCGCACGATCTCCTTTGAGGCAGCGAGTCTCCTGGCCGGAACTCCACCGTGGGACCTGGAGGCGAGAGCCCTTGCGGCACTGTATCAGTGGCGCAAGGAGGCGCAGGAGTTGGGTCGATGCCCCGAGATTCGAGAAATCGATGACCGGAAATCCCAACTCCGCCAGGTCATCATAGGGGAGTGGAGGGAACGACTCGGGCAACCGAGCGCTGGGCACGCCGTCATTGCGGCGGTAAGACCCGTTATGGAGGATTGGCTCGAGAGGCGTCACGGGACCCTCTCATACCGATTGACGCAGGTGATCACTGGGAAGGGATGTTTCGGAGATCACCTGTGTCTGATCCGCAAGGAGCCAACGCCTGAGTGCCACCACTGCGATGGCCAGACCGTGGACACGGCTCTCCACACGCTGGCAGAGTGCCCGGCGTGGGTTGAGCAGAGGCGAGACCTCGTGGCGGCCATCGGAGTGGGAGTTCTCTCGCTCGATAGCCTGATTGCGGCTATCGTGCGGAGCGAGAGTGCGTGGAACTCTGCCGTCTCCTTCTGCGAGCAAGTTATGCTCGCGAAGGAGACGGCGGAGCGGGAACGGGAGAGGTTTAGAACTCTCCCGGTCCGCCAGGCCCGGGCACGGGCCAGGCAGCGCAGGCGACTCAGGCGCCGGAGGTCGCAGAACGACCTCCGTCCTCCATAAGCGCAGGCCTGGGGGTGACAGGTGAGGCCATCTGTCACCCTAGCAGAAGCAGGCCGGGGTGGCGGCGAGCGCGTTGCGAAGCGCGCTCGCTTCCAGGGAGCACAGGGAACATGGGGTTCCCACACGGGGCGGGGGTCGTCTACTCGTCTGTAGATGACCCGAGGTATGTCGGGGCACCAGGGCCTTCCTTTCTAGGGTATACCTGGTTCCCCGGCTATTAGTACCCGGCGAAGGCGTGCGGTTTTAGTCGGTTCGTGTCCGACATGCCACCGACAGGTGGTATCGGAGGGGATTTCCGCACGGAAAAAAAAAAAAAAAAAAGGGTCTTTACGTTAAATGAACAGACGTACTATTTGAATCTTACGACAGAAAATTTAATAATCTAACAAACAACATTTACAGTAATTACCTATTACAAATAGTTTATACTACACTACGAGAGTTTATTGCGGAGATCCAGACGAGTGGATACAATTTTATATATCTACAACGCCATCTATGGAGGGTTAGTTAAAACTTTTGTTACAGTCATCTTTTTATTCAGTTAAATTTCATAAACCCTTTTTTTTGTTACTATATAGCGTATTTATTTAAGCTTCCTAGCAGTAGACTAGTAAGTTAACTGTTTCAATACTAGTGAAGACAATAAATATGGTTTAAAATAATACTTGTAATACCCATTTGTAGGTTGGCATAAAATAAATGAGAGCGTGTGTACTCTCAACTCTGATCTTTCTAAAACACATAATTCAATATTAGAGATTTCTCACCTATAATTTTTAAAGTATCTTCATCAGTCAAATCTCCTTTAACCAGCTGCTGTATTTCATCGATATTAGCAGGCGCTGGATATAAAACTTCTTCAATAACCTGTCTATCTGGATTACTGTAAGCTGTCGATACATGCAGAAACACCTGGCAGACAAAAAAATAGAATAGAATAGAATATGCTTTATTGTACACCAATTACAGTAAGTTGGTTAAATATTACAGATGGATATGTACAATATGGCCTTGGCAATCTCTTACAGGCAACCTTTGGATGGACAAATCGACAGTAGATAAGATTATTATTATTACTTAATACCATTATTAATAAACTGTATAACTATTATTTTTCTGTCTTTTTGGCAATTCTGCTTGGGGATGGTAATACATGGAACAGGTATTAGCTAGCTTCTCCGGGAGAACGAAAACGTTTTCAGATAAGACAAAGGAAACAGAGAAATTGGAGTAAGGTTAATGGACAGAGATAGAAATGTCTAGGCTGAGATACGAGTACACCACCAGCCTGAGTAACTGTTTCTGTCATACCATTGCTGTTTACATGGTGCTCAACATCTCAAGATTAATTAAAAACAGGGAAACTTTATATCAGATTTTTATATTTATATTTTTTTTGTATTGTACCACATTCACACAACGCCATCTAGTACCAAACTAAGCAGAGCTTGTACTATGGGTACTAGACAACTGATATAAATACATATATACTTTTTTTTTGTAAATACATACTTATTATACATAGAAACACCCAGACCAAATCAAACATTAAATGTTCATGCAGACAAATGTTTGACTTGAGCGGGAATCGAACCCGCGACCTTTGGAATAGCAGTCCGGTACACAAACCACTACGCCATCCGGTCGTCGTGTCTTTTCTGACAACATATTGATGATCTTTGAAATTTGTATTACCATAAGAGAAAACTGGAAATCAAAGTGATGAATAAAGTATTATTATTATCTTGATTCTTGTTCATCATCATAACGATGTTTGACGCTTACCGTACCGCTTAGCCTTGCTTAAGGGTAGTCATCAGTAATAAGTACAGAAATAGGCACTTACTTCTACTAGTTTCATTCTCTGAGCCAACTCTAAAACCATCCTGGTACCTTCGACGTTTGTTTGCCACGCTTCTTTTAAAGGTTCGTTGAATTTGACGGTAGCTGCTGCATGAATTACAACGGATACCTGAAATATTTATTATCATTAAAAAGCACTGCAGAGAGAAGGAAAACTTGAAACAAACCCTATACCAACCCGTCTGGCCAGCGTGGTATAGTAGGCCAAAACGTCCTTTCTAAGGAGAGGCCTATGTCCAGCAGTGGACTATGAAAGGCTGTTGATGTTGATGATAATGATTATCATTAAAATATCATTTTAGAGAAGAATTCTTGATCATATTTTTTTGACTTTCTGTAATCTTATAGAGATGACACAAAATTCGTATTAGTAATTCCATATTTGATTAAATCAGTTCATAAATCTTAAATAAACCATGACCTGACATATTTATAACACAGTGTACTATTTATAAAAATTGCTTATGAATGTTTCGAATTTTAGTAAAACTCGTAAATTGATTACGCCTTGTAGAGTAATAAAAAGTTGTGTTTTGGTGCACTAGAAATGGAAACAAAACAAAGCTTTCTTCACTAGGATTGGAAATAGCTACTGCTGTTCATCGGTTGGCTAATTTATCGTATCTGTAAACTGTGTATCTGCTGTACCTAAAATTTATAAATGATAAAAAAAAGCATAGACCTAACATCTTTATTTCTTTATTTAAAAGTATTTATTTACTTCAATGCTTACATTTACACTTAGCTTAAGCACAGCAGCAGCAAAAAAATTTTTTCAGCCCAATATTGGGAGCGTGACATTTTTTCTAAATTGATGTTGCTAAGTTATGTGAACTGTTGTTTCACACTTGGAATGTATTTGCGAATACCTGTGAATAGCTTTGTTGTTACTTTACTGTAATGTTTTACCTTGCGTTATTTGTGCTGTTGGTATTCCGAACAAAATAAAAATAAAATAAAACAACGGAGCTTAAGCAGTAATATGATCACAAATACTGGTCAGTTAAGGTCAGGTCAGTTAGTTGGCAAGGAGGGGCTCGGCAACCCCAACCTCTGGCCCAACCCCACTCCTGCCCATATCGTTTAACCAAATACGATGCTGGGTCAGGCAACGGACCTGTGAAGCACACAACCGGAGGTGGAAAAACTCACCCGGCTGCAGACAGTCCAAACTGGTGCTGAATCAAGTCACGCCACGACTAACCTGCAGACTGATCAGTCTTAGCAGACCGGAAATCAGAATGGTTGTCGGAACTATTACAGGACATCTAGCCCTGAACCGACAACTATTCATAGTCAATGCGACGGACAGCCCCCTGTGCAGGGGGTGTCTGGAAGCTGAAGAAACGGCCGCCCACGTAGTCCTGGAATGCGAGGGAGTGGCCACACAACGGGCAAATATCATTCCTGATATAAACTCGCTCCTAGAAGCCTGTGAACGCCCCAGGAGGCTTCTGCGCTTCTGGAAGGAGCTTGGCTGGCTCACCTAGTCAACCAATCCCCGACGCATAAAGGACCACTCTGAGTCTAAATGCGGAAACCGAGGCCCACAACCAATACCAATACCAATACTGGTCAGTTAAGACAGACTTCTAAACTAGGTAAAAAAGCCGCATCTTAGGAGCCGTGGAAGAGAAACACACACTTTAATCATTTTTAACTAGAAAATCTCTTCAATAGCAGAAATAAAGTAACATTTACATAAAGTTTCAAAAGCTCTTAAAATCCCTTAACTTCAGTTACGAAATCCATTCTTAGCTTACGTGTAGAACGACATAGAGATATACAACTCCTACATTTCAGGTGCTTAGTACAAAAAACTAAGACAAATAACCAAGAAGCCGTGTTATTGCAAAATCTGCTGCAGATTTACTTATCAGATTTCAAACGACCTCCTTGCCGAATTTAGGTTTATGTTAAAAAAATCATCAATCAAGGACTTCAATATAAATTTGTCAGAGTTTATAGACCGCTTTCATCCGAACCTGTTATTGTTTCATTGACAATTAAATAATTTGATAAGGGGCTTTGATAACACAACATAATTAACGAAAAATGTACATCCAGATTAAAATCAATTTTCTGTTTCAACAACGAATTAGTTCTTATTAGAAAATCTAAACAACAACAACACGCCTACTGAATGCAACCCGCGCTTCCACGTTATTAACAAACTGCATACTTCGTTATTGTTTCGATCGAAACTCATTAAAACAAATTGATTTGGTTGAATAGTTTTAAGAGTGTTCTAATCGAATTCGCTATAAGTTTACATCAACATTTCGTCAGCCTGTAGTCACTCTGTGGTAATTGATCGAGTGACGTAAAAAGCAAAAATCACGCTTAAGAAGACGGAAGCTAAAATTGTAAGTTGGCATTTTAAATTGACAACAAAATACACATTAAAAAAATACGTGTAGAACCTATAATTATTTTTTCGTCTGTATTAACTGAGGGCAAACTAAGTATTGTAATAACTGGTGGGTGTTAACAGTTTGAAGAGCGTAACCGAGTAGGTTAACAAATTGCAAAGTTAAGCAATCATGGCCAGGTCAGTCTATGGATGGGTGACCATTTTTAACACTTTGAGCATGTTAAGCCGTCAGTCCCGGTTGCCATACGAACATCTGTGGCAAACGTTACGAATAGTTGAGCCTTAGAACGTCGGATAATCTAATTCAATTCTACAGAGGTCTGAGGGCAGTTGTTCCGCGTAAAAAAATCGTAGTTCAGTCGATATGTGTGTATTATGTACATATTTATACTACCCCGAGTAAGTTTTTATTTGAGCCAAATATAAAACCAACATTTTGCAAGCTAGTAGTAAAAAATAAACTACACATAATTCACGTACTCACGCCTGTGAAAAAAAATTGGCTATCTGCACCAAAATGCTTATTAAAATCATTGTATTTAAATAAATATTACACTATTGTTCGGCATGTACCTGCCAAGGATGCATCCCTAAGCATGCATGACTAAACATCCAGTATTATCTTCTGTTTGTAATATTAAAATAACCGCTTTTTACTAAATGCATATGTATGTTTACACGGTACATATGCCAAAATAACATTTTTCACAATTTTTGTCTGTCTGTCTGTCTGTTTGTTCCGGGTAATCTCTGGAACGGCTGGACCGATTTCGACGGGACTTTCACTGGCAGATAGCTGATGACATAAGGAGTAACTTAGGCTACTTTTTTTAGACTAGCTTTGCGCCGCGGCGTTGCCCGCTGTTATAACAACAAACGCAGGTAATACCGCGGGTCTCAGCTAGTTATAGATAAAATCCGTCACAAACATCACGATGCACGAAAAACTGAGCTGCTTACAATTCTTGTAAAAGTTCTTTGGTAAACAGAAATCGTTATTTTTCATACTCACCTTTTCGACTAGAGTGTTCTCACTATCGTGAGATATTCCCAATTGTGGGCTATTCATATCTCCAGATATTGGAACTAGTTTTTCTAGACATTGTGGTCTTTTGTCTTTCAGTCTTTCGAAGAGCTGAAAATGAAAATAAAACGTTTGGTAAAGGATATTGGTTTGTTATAATACTAAAAATATATAAAGGTATAAGTAGACAAAGATATTATGACTACCGCACGTGTATTCTATAGAAACAAAAACCAGTATAGTTTCCTAAAAAAAAAACAAATTTAATTCATTACGTTAAAAATATTAATTCTGTATGCGGTGTATATTCTTCCTGAACATTAAGCGATTGTGGTAATGTTGAGGTTTTATGGGTGTGTTTAGTTTACGTGTGTTTCGGCGCGAATACTGCATGATTATAATACCTATAATAAGAATCAGGATGGCCAGAAAACGGTACTCTTTAAGGACGAAAGTGAAAAGACTTTTGCTAAGTGAAATGGCAGATTCAACAAGCTCTTAGTTCAACGCCTATATATGTAAATATGAATATATGTGTGTATGTACGTTTATATTCACGTGTATGTGTGTGGTATTTAGATGTATACACCAAATTCTAAGATTCAGGAAAACCTCTATCATTTATTACCCCCCCCATAAATGCACCTACCTCATTCTTTCTCAGCATCGCCCTATCGAACGACTGGCAGAAAATGCTTTAGGCATTAAGTCCGCCGATGCATGTACTTGTGCAAAAAGTTATAAAATAAAAAAAATAAAAAAAAGTGTACTCGTATGTTTGTGCTGAATGTCTTAAAGTGATTTCGTTTGACCAAAAGTTCCCCAGTATAAATAAAATTAGCAAATAATTTTCCTTTAGAATCAGAATAGTTAAACATGTAAATCAAGCATTATGCATTAGTTGAAAAACTGAGAATGCTAGATGAAAGGGAAAACACTTAAGACAAAAGCATGCAAGTAAAGTAGAGTATAAACGTTATTTTATCCAAATGTGATAATTTAATAATATGGTGTTTAAGTTAGAAACTGTGTAAATTAGAATTGCTACCTAACATTGAAAATCTTCAAATCTTTGTACGGAATAATTTTTGGGTATGAAATAGGCCTAACAAATATGATTTTGTAGATTGATCTTTGATCTCAATCTGTAAGGGTTTTGAAACCGACATCGCTGTGACTCCCTAACAAGTGATTCCTGTAAGTATTAATCAGCATTTAAACGCCCTTATTGAATTCCAATTTCGAACTTGAAAGTTTAATAAGTAGACTACTCACTGGATCATTGAAGAGATTTTTGATTCGTTGGTTGATGTCAAGTCCTTTTTTCTCTCGTATCAGGATATAAATTGTATCAATCTCTGGACAGCTATAGAGCAGCTTTTCTATAAATACCTAAAATAATACGGTTGTTATAAGGTGAAGTAGGTTTTCTTCATTCATCTATTCAATAAATATAACAAAATTACTTTTAAGCAAAAAGCATTAATCCTAGATTTTTACTGTTTCTGTGCCCGCTATTGAAATTTACTAGCTAGAATCAATTCTTGTATTCAGTTTTAACCTTTTCATAATGAACTAATTAAATGAATCATCCTATTTACAAAATGGGAACATAGGCAGTCTCGACAACTTTCGGCTATTCTCAGTGCTTAACGCACTGTACAAAATATTGAGAGGGTTAATCAGGTATTATAAGCTTGTGTTGGTTTTTTTACATTATAGTAAATTACATCCAGACGTATGTATTGAAGATAATATAGATATACAGTAACAGATCAAATATTCAATATTGTGGATAATTTAGATAAAAATAGATTTTATTTTTATTTTATTTTATTTGGAAAACAAACAGTATTAAAAACTTAATGGTAAGAGCAAATAATGTCATAAAACATTTAAAATTGTTTGAAATCGTCTTTTATGTAGACTCTTAAGTCATAGATCAACACACACAAAAGCAACAATCTCTGTTTTCTCAAATACAACACTTACAAACTACAACACTTTTTCGACCTGTCAAACGCTTTTGACACGATATCTGATACTATGTATATACTTTATATACTTTACATTTATAAACTGGGCAAATTTAAAAAAATAGAAACATCATTTTTAAAGATTACGTAACGGGTAAGAAACAACAGGTTACAATTAAACATTAAATTAATAAAAAAAATACATAGTTCCGCAGGGTAGTGTTGTGGGTCCTACTCACTTTCAGATAAATATTAATGAAAAAGAATAATTTGTCAGGTGCATGCTATTGAAAGACTCACACTGGAGCTAAACAGCTATTAGATAATCATTTAAGTGAACTAAGTAGAAAACTTCTAAAATTATAAACAAGAAAAAACTTATATTTTTTCATAACCTCAGTTATTGCCTACTAAGAAAGAATTAGTAGTATGACCATTATGTTTAAAGTTAAAAGAAAAAAATACGAGAATTTAATTAGTTAGTTTTAATCGTGAGTTTATGAAAACCAATTTCCAAAATGTTTCTCACTGCGATCCGAAAAAAATATAGACAACAGCAGAGACGTTGAAATTCGAACTATACATTAAATATACTAAAAATTTACATTAAATTCACCCAAAATATAATAAAAATAAATCTGTTGAAAAAGTGCAAACTAGCCCTAAAAATGCAAAAAACTCACCTTTCCCAAAAATCCAGTGCCTCCAGTAAGAAATATACATTTCTTCGCATAGAACTCGGCAACCGATTTATTCGACACAGCGTTTGCCATTTTGAGAGCACAGAACTAAAAATTCCAAGTACATAGATTTTTTGAACGCCTTAAATTCAAATACGAATTAATTTCAACAATGTTTCGTTCAAAGATTACCGTGTTACAGTAAAATTGGCACTGAATGAAAATATCGTAATGTTATCAAGACAAGACTGAACCAAAACGGCGAAGGTTTATTGTTTAAAAGCAAAACACCTATTATAATACTTGTTTGTTTTAGAGTCACGGTACAAGGCGACAATTAGCATTTTTATCATACCACTCACTTACATTTAGTAACTTTCGAAATAGTTTTAATTTATCCATTTTATTTTTAAGACATTTTTTTAGGGTTACGTACCTCAAAGAAAAAAAAGCGTAACCCGTATATAATCACTTTGTTGTCCTTCTGTCTGTCTGTCAAGAACCTGGAGGTATCTAGTTGAAATTAAAACCACATACTCTGGTCTTCGGTCCCTTGAAGCTGTAAAATAATCAAACTCCAAGATAACGTAAACAAAATACGGCCCTTTATGCTGCAAAAAACGCATATTTTGACACTCACAAGGGAATCAAAAGTCACGGGGAGTTGCCGTTGATCTATAACTCTGAAATTTAGCAAGTAACATCGTGTTATACTACTAGTACTTGGAAAAATCTTTATTTAAAGTACGCAGTCAATCATCGAGGTACAATATCTCTTATAAAACTCAAGAATAAAAGTAATTATAGGTTTTGGGAACTGAATTTTGGGCAAAGCTCGGAGAAAACAGTGAGATTCAATTCTTGAACTATTTAAAACATGTACCTACAAATGTGTACGGAACCCTCGGTGGGCGAGTCCGACTCACACTTGTCCGGATTTTTTTTAAATTTTTCTAGTTTAATGGCCTGCAATATGCATTTACACAAGCATACTGCTTAACTAGAATATTCTCAGACACCTGTTCTTTGTTATTATTTGGGGTATCTTTTTTGAGAAATTGTTTGTTTTGTATTCACATTTCAGCTGTAACAAGGACTGGACTCTGGACTTTCTTACAATAAATAATATCAATATTGTATGTGGTTAACATTGGTTTCTCCTGATTTGTAAATTTTGGAATTATAATAGTAATTAAGACATGTTGTTAACGCTACTAAATAAAAAAAAACCTAAAACTTTAAAATTATTACTACTGAACTAGTCCTTGCAATGATGAAGTGATAAGTGATACAGGTATCTGTAATACAGGCCGTGATAAAAAGATTTCCCCACAGTAATAATGATAACCTAACACGTCTAATAAAGGCTCGTTTGATCCCAAACTAGACACAACCTGGTTAGCAGACTGCTGACTTATATATTTCTACACACACGTTGACACGGTGTTTCACATGCTGGCAGAATGCCCGGCGTGGATGAAGCAGAGACATGCATTCCGTCATAAGCGCTGGCCTGAAAGTGACAGGTGAAGCCATCTGTTTAGGCCCTGGCTAGGGTGTAGCGACACGCTGACATAGGGAGTAGAAAATGAATACCGTGTGGCAACCATATAAGAGGAGTTCATATATAACAAGCCATTGATGGCCCGGAATTCAGGTAGGTGGTAGGCTCCAAAACTTTAACCAAAGTTAAAGAAATGACGAAATTTCTCTAATTTAACAGTTTGCATGCAACATGTAAGATATTTACATCTTCCGCTTTAGATAAGAATCAAACAATACAACAAAACAAATAATCTAAGAAGTTCATTTCGAGATAGTTTAATTCATTGTTTCGGCGTGAGTCATTGGAAATAAACTCAAGTGAAAGGTATTCGGATACCTTTATCTATTTGACATTGATTTTTTAATTATTAGTTACTAGTTTTTGCCCGCGGCTCCGCCCTCGTTTATTTCGGTTATCGCAGTGAAAATTAGCATGTGTCCTTCCTTACAACTCAAACTAGCTTAAAAACAAATTTCAACTAAATCGGTTCAGCGGTTTTTGGTTTCCCATACAAACTTCCACCCCTTTTTTCACCCCCTTAAAGGATGATTTCTGGGATTCAAATTCAAACTCAAAAGGACAATGGCAGGCATGTATTTTTTATTTTTGTTTTTAAAAGTGACAACTTCCGCATCAGGAATATATCCTGTGTCGCGGGGGACTTCACAAACATACATCAAACGGACACAAAGAACACCCAGTCTCAGAAGAACAATTTGTGGATCACACAAAGTGTCGTCCCAGGTGGGGATCAGACCCACAACACTCAGCGTGGTAGAACGCGCCATGGCGATCTCTTAAACCATTACGCCATCCGTGCAGTCTGGGAGCATAGGACTTTTGTATCGCCTTGCGCATCTCATGGTAGGGATTATTATGGTATTTTTTGGGCTGGTAATATCATCAAAAATTACAGTTTTAATTACCAGATTTTTAAAACTCTGCGTTCAAAAGTTATTTCAGTTTGTAGTTTGCATATAGGCTGTAATGAAGTCGATACTAATGACAGCGGGCTATCACAAATAACTTATCATTTCTGTTAACAAGTTAACTTAGATATCTTTCAAAATCATTCCTTCACTATTTCCTTGATCCGTCAATAAAATTTTGGCTAGTCAAATCAGTTAAATTACTTTTTTTTAATGTTCACGATTAATCGTGAATTACTAATCAATTTGAATAAAGGTTATTAGTACCTTTCCTTAAACTAATTAAATAAAATAATCAATGCTTCCCCTGTACATTGAAATCTTCAAACAAACCCAATACCAACCCGTCTGGCCAGCGTGGTATATTAGTCCAAAACCTATTTTCTAAAGAGAGGCCTATGTCCAGTAGTGGACTATTAAAGACTGATGTGATGATGAATCATTGTTTTATTACTTTGTCTAATCTGTACAGTTAACATTATTAACAAAGACAAGTTTTGTTTTTAACTGTTAAATACACTAATCAGCTGATTTATTAATCTCGATGTAAACTAATCTTTTTTCATGTAATTTATATTTTATGCATGGCAATGAATGCGTTTTGTTATCCACACTTGAACGTTTAGTTATGGCAGCAATTCTTGTTTTTTTTTTACTTTAAGCAAAGTTATAAAAATAAAATAATTACTTGACATAGTTAGGATGACTAATTCTTTAAACGGTGCAAATCTGAAAACCCTCTATCATATTTTACTAGGGGTACAGGATCTGCCGTTCTCCTTTCTTTATTTCATTTTTTTTTAATTGTGTGAAATCGTCTATTCTGTAGACTCTAAAGTCATAGATTAATACCCCAATAGCAACAATCTCTGTTTTGTCAAATATTTAGTAAACTAAATTCATAAGTATCGAAAATCTCTTATATGCCTGTGCATATATATGCAGTTGTAGAGAGCTAAAAAAAATAATAACTCAGAATGGTTTCGAAATAATAATAATTTTTGAAAATGTTTGTATAAGACACGAGTTTTTTATTTATGTATAATAATAATTATACTTGTAACATTTAATAAGTATATATTAATAATTTAAAAAGTGCAATCCGAGCGTAAACATATATATATATATATATATAATGCTCGGACTGTACTTTCAAACAATAGTTCAAGTTGCAGCTATGCGACCTTGAGTGCTCCTGCCATTGCTCACACTACGTAGCCTTCCGTGTAATCCCTTCTCTATTTACCCACCTTTTCTTTTAAATGAAGCTCGTGTCTACTTGGCCTGAAGTGCTCAGTTGAAGGCCATAGCAAAATTGTAGCCAGCTCAATTTGAGCCTGTGATACGCAACCGCATTCTTATTTAATTTTTATTTTAATATATTTGGTAAACTCACAGCTATAAAGTACAATAAAAACATGCTAGTGATGAAAAATTAAAAGTATTGACGTATGATCAAATTTTTAACTAACTCAACATCTAAACAACATACAAATTAACCTACATTTATTTTAAAATAACCTAATAATATAATATTTGACGTAATGAGCATCTCTTGCTCTAAACATTAAAAAACTAATTACAAAATGATCCGATAATTATATTATTATACTTAATAAAGTATAACATACTTTATTTATTTACTTTAAATATTTATGCACATAAATAAAAATTGTACAAGTGTGGACTTAATACCGTAGGTTTTCTCCCTGTGTATATTAGAGGGTGCGCAAATGTGTGACAAGGTGCAATAGAAATAAATTTTAAATAATCTTAATTTTAATATTTATTTATTTATTTAAAATTTTAAATCATCATCATCATCAACAGCCTTTAATAGTCCACTGCTGGACAAAAGCCTCTAGTTACAAAGGACGTTTTGGCCTACAATACCACGCTGGCCAGATGGGTCGGTATAGGGTTTGTGTCAAGTTTTCCTTCTCTCTGCAGTGCTGTTGTCCTACGTAGTTTTCTCCCTTAGTCGGCTCATGTGACACCCACGGGATGAATAGGGGTGGTGACACTCTGTATTCTTAAATTTTAAATATTTTTTTTTTTTTTTTAAAGGAAATAGAAAATAACAATTAATTTTTTAAGAGGCCAAAGTTTCATCTTGAATAAGAGGCGGCTGGGTGCTGGGGAGAGTGGTCCAGAGGAGGACAGATTGGATTAGGAACTTTGTTCCTTTCGTATGAATGTATATTATTGTATATTTATGGTAGAGTAACTTAACAGGTAAACGTATAATAATAATAATAAATCTCTTTATTGTGTATTGTACAAATGGCGGCCTTATCGCTCAGAGGCAATCTCTTACAGGCAACCTTGGTATGGAGAGAAAAACATAAAGGCAAGGAGGTGTAGGGTAGTGGCTGGTGTACTAAGAAAATACGAGTAGATTAGAAGAGGAAATCAACGTAGAATCTATATAAATATATAAAAAAAAAGTGATAATTACAAAAAAGTAACTGGTAGGACTGTATGTATGTAATTAAAAGCAAATTAAATCTTTCTAATTGTACATGGCCAGTCAGTTGTTTTAATAATTACTGCATGCAAAATTTGCAAGTGCTGTAACAATTAAGATAAGAAGAAACGTAAACTACTGTAAATAACTAAACTTCATTGTAATGAATTTTATGAAAAAATATATTTATTTTTAAAACCTAGATTTCAGCCATAAATATTCACAGTGAAATATGGAACGGAAGCGACACTGAGAGTGAGGGTACCACTGGTACATGCACCAGTAATGCGCCGTACTACACCTGGCGTTTCAGAATGTATCGTAATACATTGCATCCCTGGAAGAGTGAAGGCGATCTGGAATGATATACAAAAGATCAATGTATTTTGTGCAACTACCGATTACAATTAGGATAATGTTTGAACAAAGTAACAAAATCTTGAAAACGAACAATAACACTTTAGCAAACAAGTATGATTGTTTTATGATAAATTATATTTGTTACAGTAAGTAAATCTTTTCAGATATATTTACAAGTCGGACTTTACAGCTAGAAGGAGCTGGCGTTTCCGAAGACTCACTCTGGGAAGAAGCGCAGAAACAAACCACAGAGGTGTCTTTTTTTAAAGTTAGGTTAAATAAAACTGTGCGAGTAAAGTGTAGAGTCTGGGTAGGCCTTTCGAAGAAAGGACCATGGTTTGGGTTGGCCTGTCTATACAGAGGGCATACACGCTCCAACCATCGTTTGTAGCTTAAGCGATGTTGGTCAAGATCAACGACCCGAAGCACAACACTACCGCCAGCAGGATATTTGGGTAGAATCTTATGTTGTGGGCTTATTCAAAACACAAACCTGTATATTTACAGAAGAATCAGACATCATTTTGTCTTCAATTTCATTTATCTCAGAATACATAAGTTTTTTTTCATCTATGCCATCGCAATTTCCACATTTCCAAATACCACCGGACAGAACAGGCTCTTTACCTGGAACAGTAAATAGAAAAATTAAACACACATTATTATTTATATTTTAATAAAAATACACCTGCCAACAACATATCCTGTGTCGCGTGGGACTTAACAAACATACATGAAACGGACACAAAGAATACCTAGACTCAGAACAATAAATGATGTAGTCCTATGTGATCGAACCCACAGCACTGAGTGCAGTAGTAAGCGGCGAGGTGACCACTTAAACTACTACGCCGTCCGTACTACGAGTACATCCATCACGTCTATATCCCAGAATGGTTAGACAAAGAACCATTTGTGTGATGAGCACGATGATTTATTCTGTGTCTGGGTGTAATTTATCTTTAATATATATGTATTTAGAAATATATAAGTATGTTAATCAGCAGTCTGTATACCATAGTACAGGCTCTGCCCAGTTTGGGATCAGAAGGCCGTGTGTGTGAGGTGTGTGAAGTTATTATTATAATTTGCGAACAACAGTGTTAGTAACCGAGATAGAGCCATGCTTTGGAACAAATCAGCTAGTTCTACCTGAGCGATACCACAGCCTCTCAGAAAACCGGTCTTAAGCGATTCTTTCTTAGGTTTACACCAAGTAAGTGAAGTTACTAGTCTCTAACCTTCCCTCCGCCTGATTCTGGGGGCGCTCAAAATGCGACAACGCACTTGCAATTCTTCAGTTGCGGATGTACGTGGACTGAGGGTCATTCACAATCAATGACTCGTCTTCTCATTTGCCCAAAAAAGAAATACACACACTAATATAATACGGGATAAGCCCACCGTTATCAACCAGGCACTTGCCGAATTGATTCAGATAATTGCAAACATCCGTGTGCAAATAGTCCGTATGGTGACGGATTAAGAATACAAATTGTGACCACCCCAATTCATCCCGTGGGTGTCGTAAGAGCCAACTAAGGGAGCAAACTAAGCTGGACAACAGCACTGCAAAGAGAAGGAAAACTTGAAACAAACCCTTTTTTTTTTTTTTTTTTTTTTTTTAACGTGTGGAAATCCCCTCGGACCGTCACCCCTCCGGGGTTTGCGGCGGGGTGGTGTGTCGGACTCGGACCGACTAAAACCACACGGTGTGCCACTCTGCGCCTGTAACAGGAGGGATCCGGGAACAGCTGTTGTTAAGACATCCGGACCCCTCCTAGCGCCAGCCCGCTCCTGGTGCGGGCTCCGTCTCATTGTAGATGTTCCTCTCTTTAGGCGACGTCCGGCACACGCGGACGCCGCCCCCTCGCGGCTGGCCAACTAATGCGGGTGGAGGGGAAACCCACCCCGTCCACCCGCGGCCACACTCAGGGCGGCATGAGGCTGTGGTAGGCGGGCCTCCGCCGCCCGGTTCGCCGGCGGCGGATCGGATCCGAGTGGAGGTCGTCCTCCCGGGCCCTTTCCGCCGCCTCCTTCCGCGAGATTACTACCTCGCAGAAGGTTGCGACCGCGGTAAAACAACTGTCGCTACCGGCCATGGAGCGTACTACGGCCGGTAGCGAGAGATCCACTCCCGATGACTGCAGTGAGGGCCCGGCGCTGCGCCGCCCATGCGGGGCAGACCGCCAGCGTGTGCTGGGCCGAGTCCTCACTGCAGTCGCAGTGGTGGCAGGCGGGACTCAGTTCCCTCCTAGCGACCGTGTGCAGGTACTTTCCGAAGCAACCGTGCCCGGAAAGCACCTGCGTCAGTCGGAAGGAAAGGGTCCCGTGCTGCCGCCCTGCCCACTCGGCGATGACCGGCTGGAGAGCCTCCACGGCGGCGAAGCCAGCGCGTGGAGTCTCCAGCCGGAACGACCAACGAGCCATCGTGGCTCGGCGAGCGGCTTCGCGCCACTCGCGCACATCCTCGGGCGGAGGGCGAAATCCGCTCCTCCGCCCGGTAGTCAGCCACTCGCCGATAAACTTCGGCGAGCACTTCCGCCTCCAAATCCCACGGGGGAGTTCCGGCCAACGCGCACGCCACCTCCGTCGAAACGGTGCGGTAACCGCGTATGGCTCTGACCGCCATTACCCTCTGAGGGCGCCAGAGGCGTACCCTATTCTGGGCGGTCAGAGCCGCCGCCCACACCGGTGCACCGTACAGCGCCATTGACCGGACAACCCCCGTGTACAGCCGTCTTGTCGCGACGCTGGGTCCACCCATATTGGGCAAGAGTCGCCCTAGGGCAGACGCAGCGCCGACCAGCTTTGGAGCAAGCTGTCGGAAGTGCTCGTCGAAGAGCCACCCCCCGTCGAGGATCAGGCCCAGATATTTCATCTGGGCCCGAACCGGTACGAGGACCGGGTTGACCACGATGGAGGCGCCAGGGGGTGGACCACGACGGGGCCCATGAAATAACAGGGCCTCCGTCTTATCTAGGGCCACCCGTAAGCCCAGCGCCTCAATGCGCCCGACCACCAGGGAGACTCCCCCTGTGGCCAGGCGCGCCGCCTCTTGGAAGTTTGCCCCCCGGGCTGTCACCAAGGTATCGTCTGCATAACAGATTACACCCAGCCCGGGGGGGGAAATCGGCGCGAAGGGCCCAGTCGTACCCTATGTTCCACAAGAGGGGTCCAAGAACAGACCCCTGTGGAACACCGCACGACATGGGCCGACACCTCAAATAACCTTCTCGGTCCTCGTACACGACGGTACGCTCCTCTAAATAGTCTGCCACCAGCCGCCTCAGGTACTTTGGCACCCCATGATAGTGGAGTGCTTCCCTGATGCAGCTGAATGGCAGACTATTGAATGCGTTGGCGATGTCTAATGACACCGCCAACAGCACGCCGCCACAGCTCACGGCCTCTTCGGTCACGGCCCTCAGGCGCAACACGGCGTCGACTGTCGAACGCCCCGCCCGAAAACCAAATTGGGCGTCCGACAGATCGGGGCCCACCTCGCAGAGGTGCCGGACGATGCGGGCAGAAAGAAAACCCTCTCAAACAATTTGCCCGCCTCGTCCAGCAGCACGATGGGCCTATAGGCCGCGACCGAATCGGCCGGCCGTCCCGGCTTCCTCAATAGGACCAGCTTCCCGCTCTTCCAGCACTCAGGGGAAGCGTCCCCGACGCCAAGCTAGCGTCGAACACCTCCCCGAGGCGGTCTGCCAAGTGGTTGAGGGCCAGGGCCAGCACTCGGGCCGGTACCCCGTCTGGCCCAGGGGCGGTGTTCTTGGAACGGATCCGTAGAACAGCCGCCCCTACCTCCAAATCCCGGACGGGCGGAACATTTTCCTCCCCGTGCTCCCCGTCGTCTCCGGGCCAAGGAGGCCATCGCCGGGGGAGTGTGTTCCGCTCGTTGCGGGGAAAAGGCCCTCCCCCCCTTTTTTCTCCCCGGAAGGGGGGCCCTGGAATTTCTCCGTAAGGGGGGGGCCCGACGCCCCCCCGGACCCTTTTTTTCCCACCCCCGCGGTAAGGGCGGCCCCAGGGGCCCGGGATTAAGACCCCCCCAATCTCCGGCCCTTTTTTCCCCTTTTTTGGCCGCGGCTAATGGCCGGGCCTTCAGATTTTCCCCGGCCCCCAGTCGGTCCCTCATGAACCCGGCCCTCCTAAACCGTCTCCACGTGACGCCGCCGCCCCGCGGGTGTAGGTCCGGGAAACTTTTGTACAGGCCCCCGGGGAGGTCCGCCGCCCTGGGCCCAAACCAGTAGACCCCCTTTCCCTTTGGGGGCCGACCCCGAACGCGGGGCTGGCCGCATCGCTAAATTTGCGAAAACCCCTCGGGAAAGGGGCCCCCCCCCAACGTCGACCTCCTGGGTCGGAGCCTGAGGAGACAGCCCGATTTAAAAATGGCTGCCTCCTCTAGTAGGCCCCGGTTACCCTTGGCAACAGCCCACCGCGGAAAGGGGGGAAAAAACGCCGCGCCACGTGACCCCTTTTGGAGCCCGGGGTCCGGGAAAAGCCCCAAATCGGATATAAGGTGTCCAAAAGGCCCAAACCTTTTTTCCCGGGAAAACGCCATTTTCCCTTACTGTGCGGCGAGGGCAGGGTAGGGAACGAGGGGTTTCCACTATCGACCCCCCCCTGCTGCCCCGCCGTGTTGGTGGACCCCTCTGTTTTAGGGACGGGGCCCCACCGGGCCCCCCACTCCTTTTAACGGCCCCCCCCGGGCGCCCCCCCGGGGGGGAACCCCACGCAATGGACTTTGCGTTAAATTCCCCCCAAGCACAAGGACGTGCCCAAAAGCTAGTCGCCGTATCGGGTCTAAAACCCTGGTTGGGAAAAACCCTCGAAGTCTTTCCCAAACTCCCGGTTTTGGGGGGGGAAATATAAACATTTTATGGTGACCCCCCCCCCACTCAAAACGGAAACATACCAGTCCCCTTTTGCCCTCTTAGGGGGGAACAAGGGGGGGGAAACCCGACCCGTCTTTGGACCGACGACTGCCACGGGGGCCGTCCCTTCCCCCATCCAGTTTGGAGGGGGGGGAAGAATAGGGCCCCGCGACTACGAAAAAACCCCCTACGCCACTTTTCCTTTTTTTTTGGGCGGGAAGAAAACCTGCGCCGCGGAACGTGGTTCGGGTTCGTCTGGCCCAGGGGGTTGGAATTGCCCCCATTACTGGATCGTCCCCTAAAACCCTCCCCCAGGGGCGACGACGCGACGAACAAAACCAAAAATGGGAGGCAGCCTGGGTCGATTTGGCTAACCCCCGACGTCTGCCGAAAACTGGGGGGAAGGTTTTGCAGCCTTCGGCCCCACCCGGGTGTTGGGGCGGGCTTTTTCCCGGAAAAACACACGGGGCCCTGGGGGGGGGAAAAGGGGCATTCTCCCGCCTTATGCCCCGGTTGCCCCGCAGCGGAAAACGTCCCCGCAGTCAAAACAACTGCCATTGACGCGCGTGTGCCCCGATGTAGGTTTTTAGAAATTTAAATTGGGTTTCGCCCCCAGGACGTGATCCTGGCGCTAACAAACCGTTTAGAAGCCCGCCGGGGGTGGGCCCCAAAATATTTTTGGCCGACGCTAAAAAAGGGGACAGCTAAACCCACAGGGCCCCCAAGCCCTCCTGGCCCGGGGCGGAT